ATTTCACGTATATAGCCTCTGGACATTCAAAGTCGACCGAATGTCGAGATCAAAACGGACTCGCGAACATCGCTGAAAGTATTGTCCAGGAGCGCCGGAGTATTGTCCAATGAGCCGTCCCTGGGTCGGCGGACCCTTCCAGCCGCGGGACCGTTCTCCACGGAGTTCGTGCAGGTATATAAATTCTGGTGCTATTATTGGGGTTTGCGCCTTCTCACAAGGCCCTCTGGACCCCGCGGCGGCCCCTTTGAGCTACTCTTTCCGCCTCTCTCGCTCCTGCTTATCGTTGTTGACCCCCCTCAGCATCCCCGCTCATCCTCCTCCTCCTCCTCCTCCTCCTCGTTCACCGCCGCTCCATTCTCTCCTTCTCGCCGGCTATGCCACACCGCCCCTGTCCTGTTTGTTTTTCCTCGCGTCGTCTTCCGTTTGCTAAACGCACCTTAAATTACGCGGCCGATGATAAATATTTGAGCCGTCCATTACATGAAAGGCCCACTCGGACCGTCGTTCGTTCGGCCGGTGTTACCTCCGCTTGCTCGACATTAGGTTCCTCCAGGATATCGTGTTACCTCGAAAAAGAGACAGCTGAGCTCATACGTTCACGACGCATCATGGACCGCTTGTCTTGCCGACAGAAACTTGCAGGCTAAAGAAAAACTTTCGGCCTGCGCTGGTATTTTCCGACTCAACGCGATAGCGAAAAGTTAATTACTAAAACATTAAAATACCTTTAAGTTTTGACAAATACTATATATGGAATATCGTATATTTAACGGATACACGTTACAGCATTCTGTGATCAATTCAGAATAAATTCTTTTTTAGTTAGGACGGTAAGCATTGTTAAGGTCAAATTATATTGAAATCATTTTTAGTCGTATATATTTATAGATTATCATTGCAGTAAAGTTAAACAATTTAAGTCAAGAAGATGTATTCAATTTGATCCAAATTGAATTTATTATTTACTAACAATAAGTGCATACATTTGCGCGAACAATATTTACTTTAAAACTAACCACAGAAATGATTTTTAACATCAATAAACAGTTAAATTTTTTATAACAAAATGTTATTATTTTGATTTATCAAACTAGAGTCATTTTGACTTTCTCTCGTGACTTGAAAGTTAAAAAAAAGTAACAAAACATTATTTAATTAACTCAAGGCACTGAGTTATCAGTGTTCTTTTGATATCTAACAGTGAAATGTGAATGAAAATGCGTTTTAAGATACGAGATATATAATTTATCACAGATATATATATGGTATATTAAGACGTTCCGTGAATCCGTATCCGTAAGAAACGCGATAAGAATCGTACGCAATCAAGGCTGTTAGGTATAATAGATAGATACCATTTCGATAAAACCGATCGATAGCATGCTATTTTCGTTGGTCCCATAACTCAACCGGAGTCGAGTGTCACGAGTGAAGATCGTCCAACGCGACACGAGGAATCTTAATCGTAGCTCCGCGCGCACAGGACCACCGACAATATTCTCTTCTCCTTTATATTTTCTCACGATGCAACGATCTTACATGGCACGGCAACGCCGCGCCGTTACTTGCACCTCGATAGCAGAATTTTTATTTCCAATCCCCGTGCGCGCGCACCACACATACACGCGTGCACATACCGCAGCTGGCCACGAAAGTCAAAGTGCCTCGTAACAGGATTATGAAATGTTCCGGAGTAGCGTTCCACGGATGTTTACAGCCCGCGAATACTCGTTACCTTTTATTGCCGGCAAGTTTCAGCGATTTCTGGCATTGGCTCCGTTAACGAGCGACATTTTATACTTTCATTGGGCCGTAATTCTCCCCCTTTCCGCGTAGAGCGATGCATACGGCTCGTAATTCGGCCATTGTGTTTCCGGATGCACCGCGATGAGGAAAATTCGCGAAAAATCGAGTTCGTGAAACCGTGTCGTGTCGGAAGACGCGAGAATTTGGATTTGGAGCGCTGAAATACAGTTTCCATTTTCACGATGATGAATATCACGAGTTTGTCTCATTGCGTCATTCTTGCTTCTAAGGATTTCCAATTTTCTCCAAATTTTCGAGATTTTATTAGAATCTTTACAAATTTAACATATATGTATAGGTGCTCAATATAATCTTTTCTATAACATAGGAACTATTCTGGAATTTCCTTCGTACATTAAAAAGTACAAAAATTCTTACCATTTTATTTGATTTTTTTACTTCTTTTTATCTAACTTGATAAAAAAAATTGATATTGATTCTTATTTTGCGAAAGTCTTATTCGTAAAGTCATTGCGTTTTAAACGATCATGACGCGCCTTGTTCAAATATACCTGTTAACAAGTGTTAACCGGTATTTGACCAAAATATTTAGCAGTAATTTGTACAGTTATTAGATACAGTGAGAGATATAAATATTTCGGTTTTTCTTCCTTGAAGAATGATGACTTCATGAATCTAATGTCATTATATTAAACAAAACTGACATCATCAATTTACTTTTTTGTCTCATTTTTTTTCTGTGAAATCTGATGAGCGGATACGAGCGTAACGTTTATATACGCTCGCAGTGTCAAGCATTAGGAAATATTATTTCACAGACGGACGAAGAGTTTTGCTTTTCAACGCGGTTGTAGTTATGGCCAGAATGCCGCGGGCACGTTTCAGCACGACGTTGTGTAAATGCGAGCGGGCCAGTGATCGTCTGTGTATTTGGGAAAGATGTTTATTATCAGTAAACTGAACTCTTTGCTGTATCCCCCTTCACCGCTTGTTCCTCACCCTCCGTGAGGTAGACTTAGACTTTCATATCAGTTGCCGTGTAGCCGTGCTCGACCTCGTATATTTCACTCGATACACACTGCCGTTTATAATGCCGATCAACGGTATTTGGTTCGCATAATCGGTCCTCCGACGTGCAAATACCAATCGCATTTCTCGCAGACAGATCGAACGGTAACGATGATCAATGATCGTGCAACGTTCGCACATCTGTAATCGGAACGATGCGTTTACGAATTTTTCTCACGATATCGCGTGAAGCGTCAAGGTGCTCGAACAGATAATAAACAGCTTACGCCAATCCGCACGTGCAGTTATCAATTAACAATAACGTAAAAAAGGAAAATAACACATTCCGGTAAACGATAGTTAGAATGATAGCTAATTATTATTCGTGTACGTCCATATCATATAATTTTCGTGTAATATAATAATTATCGAAAGCCGAGTGTTTAAATATCAGTCTTGAAATCTTTCCGTGAAAATTTCGTGAAAATGTGAGAAGGAATTGCAAATCTATATGCCGAAGTGAATCACAAATACTAATAGTAGAAAAAGAAATGGGAAAAATTGAATAAGAGAAGAGAAAGAAACTAGAGAAGAAGAAAAGAACGAAGAGTCCTACAGCGCTCCAAGTATCCGTCAAGGTCATTCTTGCAAGCCTCCCACGCTTCGCGCGTTACTTTTATCATGGAAGTACTGATTCGTCTTTCGAGGGTAGGAAATCATTGGAAATCTTCGCAATGAATCTTATACGTACTATAATGTTGGAAGGTTTTACAAAGTGGAGAACCGAGAGAGTGCGATAGACGCAAAGAAAGCTACGTGCTTCGATGAAGAGAACAATCGAGTAACGAGGTAAGACGTATGACGAAGAAGAAGTATATAGTCCAACCAGCGATAGACGAGAAACGTCGAAGAAACAAAGATAGTGAAAGAGGAAACAGTTCTCGAGGGATGAGAGAAAGAAGGAAAGAGAGAGAGAGAGAGAGAGAGAAGAAGAAGATTACGATGAGTGGAAGAGAATGAGAGACCGCGATCGCGTCTAGCCGAAGAAGAAAACTGGAAGATTATCATCTTTCTCTGCCTTTCTCTCATTCTTTACCTTTTCCCCTCTTTCTTTCTCACACTTTCTAACTCTTTCTCTCTCTTTTTCCTTCTCCCTCCCGTCACGTGCACCTGTCTTCGTTTACCTGGTGAATGCCCCGCCCCGGCCAATAGAGGTACAGCGGGCCTCGTGACGTCAGTCACGCGTACCAAGAGGCCCTAGGTGGAGGGGGCGAGATCATCCACCACCACCTTTGGAGGCCACGAAAGCCTCACGGGGACCAGCAGCTAGCAGCAGCCAGCGGCGGTGGTCTCGCCGGCCGTTTGCCGCGGGGTGGGGGCAGGAAGAGGGGTACTCCTGGACCTGGTCAGGCCAAAGAAACAACGCAGGAGTACCCACCGAAACCCATCCTGCATTTCCCACCACCGGCTCGTCCGGAAAACGTGCGCTAGCTTCCGGACGTCGTTCGTCCGAGTTCAGTCAAGTGAGTCGACTCGCACGTACCTTCTCTCCGACGAAAACGATTGCGGAGGGTTCCACTCCGGAAAGGCGGGAGTGTGTTGGCGCGTGCCGACGAGAATTTAAAGGGCCCAGTACCGGTTGAGAGAACGTCGAGATTAGAGTCGAGGAAATCCAGCCTTTGAATATATTTCTCCGTGAAAGTTCGACAACACTTAAAGGATGCGGAAAGATCCCTTCTCGTAAATTCTTCGATTTGATACCATACGAGTTAATGTTGATATCACGGTGCGGTGACCATACGTCACCTCCTTTCGATATTCAAAACAGAAGAAAAAGGATCTTTTCTCGATCCTCCGAGAGAGCGGTAGCCTCGCGTCGATCGCTTGTGTTCCGCTCAAATTCTCCCGGTGAAGCGTCATTGTTGGTCGGCCGCGCGCGGAGTTTATCAACGCAATACGGGGATCACATCGGTGGTAAGAGTGCGTGCACGGGGGGTGTGTGATGCTCTGGTTATGGTTAAGCGTGAGTGAGGTCAGTGGCAAGAGGCGGAGAAGAAGAATCGGTAGCAGAACGTCAAGCGGATTGTCACCCTCGTCATCGTTGCTGCTGCTGCCGCCGTTGTTACCACCGTCGTCCTCATCGTCGTCGTTCTCCCAGCCGTTCTGGAGACGACGAGAGCAGTGACCGCGCAAGGTCGACCTCGAGGCAGAGGCACGCGATTATGGTGCACCATTATCATCGTCGCCGCGGCCTCCAGGCGACCCACCACTGTGCCATTGGGAGTCGCGTAGGCACATGCACTTCGCTCTTCCAGGTTCTTCTGTTGCTCCTCACCCTTTGGCTGCCCGTGCTCGATAACAGTGGCTTTGCTTTGGCGTGCGGACCCGGCAGAGGCGCCGGCCGACGGCCGAATCTGCGGAAGCTTACTCCTCTGGTCTTCAAACAGCATGTACCAAATGTCAGCGAGAACACCTTACCGGCGAGCGGACTCAGCGAGGGACGGATTACTAGATATGACCCCAGATTCCGAGACCTCGTACCCAATTATAACACGGACATCATCTTTAAAGACGAGGAAGGCTCCGGTGCCGATCGTCTCATGACACAGGTGAACGCGTGCGCTCTTCTTTTCCAAGATAAACAAAGGTGCGAACAAATGGAGGATGAAGTGTTTATCTTCTGACAATAAAATAAAATATGTGAAAAATTCCTACTGTTTCATTCAATAATTTACGTACATTATTTTTTCCGATTATATGGAAAATTATATAAATCTGCAATAGTTTTTAGCGATTTACGTGAGATAAATCTACAGATTGAAATATGAAGTCACATATAACAATAATATTAAAATAAATGTATCGTCTTCATTTGCTTGCACCTTTAATTACTTGCTCTCTAATATACGATGGATAGCTTTAAGAAATACTTATTTTAAGATTTTATTTTCAATTTTTAGAAGTATTATAAATGAAGTTAAACATGAAGAAAAGACATATATTTAATGCTTTTTTAAGCAATAGTAATTTGATTATAAGGCTTTGTTACCTTTGTTGTAATGGGAATTTTTGAATTTTGACACTGTCAATAAAATATGTGCCTTTGCTGGTAAGTGTTGTGATAAAGACGACCGTCCTTGAAGCAGTCCGGCTCACCGGTGAATCATCCTATGAAACGACACCGTATTTACGAGGGATATCATATACGACCAATCGATTGGTCGATCATGGCCGCGTTTAGTCTCATATTAATTAAAGCGACAATCGAACGCGACGTTATCAAGATCGGCGGGTTTCTTGCTTCCTCATCGATTTGTCTGGGTGCAAGGTGGTGAAGCATAATAATCAGTAATCCCAGAAAAATGCAACCGGAGAGATGTTTACATTAAATTTTAGTAATAACAACGTTTGTACACGTTTTCCTGAGAGTTTGCATCGATTTTTTGAAAGTAAAAAGGAAGAATATCATTATCTTTACGTTCTATATAATTTATCCCTTTAAAAGCGTCATATAGCCTCGATAATTTTGTAAATAATTTGTATAATAATCATGCCATTTAAGTTAAACATAAATTTATTTTCTTTCTCCAAGGTTAAATCTCAAACTAATTAAATTGCCGTAGCAATTACTTGCACCAAAATATCAATAATTATTATCATATTGTATTACATTACATTAATAATTAATATAATAATGAGTCACATTGTTCGTAAAGGATGAATAATACAAACAGTTCAGTTGTGCAAACATTTCGACTTCTAATTTGAATTTACTTCAACGCAATAAGATAAGACATGGATAAAAAATTTTAATCCCTCCTCTAACACAGTCAAATTGATAAAACTTTTCGTAACATCGTAGGCATTACGTAACGTTCAAAATAAAGAACTAGAGGACATTTTTTTTTATATCATGATATTATCTATGTGATAATCAAACATATAATTCTTTGAAAATTGAACGTAGCGAAAATGAGAAAAGTTGTAAGATAAAATCGAAAGATAAAGTCGAAAGGATTAATAATGCACTCGTTAAGTATTTCAGTAATATATGGTAATTTCCAATACATACATCGATCGACCGTCTCTTCCATGGACACGTAGTAATGCGTGTTATTACTTTAATGCGTGTCACTGTACTCTGGTCCGTATGACAAACTAGCTACTGCACGTCGTTAAAACGTCGGTAGGTGATTCACGCGAAATGCTAGCCGGCGTGATAAGCGACTCGATTATGTTCGATCAAGCTTGCTTCATGCAGATAGTTTATGTACGATTCTATTACGTTGCGTGATTCTTCTTCGCTGTCAATTTCGAAGTATCATATTTCTTCAGAGAGATCAGGACGAGTTTTCTCCATATAAAATTTACGTATACATATAATAGGATCGAAAGCTACAAAATAGTAACATCAGATTAATGACTATTAGTTAGACGACCTTTGCGAACGATCTTTCTCATGTAAATTTGTCACTTCAGACTTAAAAATCATCCGCGATGCTGTGGGAACTGAATGCGAGAAAAGGACGTTCGATCGCTTGCCCGTCATCACCTTTAAGAAGCGAAGACTATTCGAGGTTTATTTCTCTTCCATGGAGGCTCCATTAGTGCTTTATTCATGCATTTTTTATCGGTGTTTGCCTTCCACTTGGCGCCCCCGCGAAGCGTGAAACGATTCTCCTAACTCCCGCTCCGTTGTATTCCAATTTGTAAGTCGACATCGCCGCGTCACACAAAAGGCAGCCTCGGCGCCGCGCGGACAGTGGTGCTTAAGCGGACAAAACCTGAATTCTTAAAAGCTTATCCAGAAAATATCAAAATATACCGATATAATCTTGAATTGTTGGCTAATGAGAGAAGTCACGATGAAAGTAGATAAAAGATCTTCCCGAGTAGCATGTAGCCTTAAAACTTTAAAAGTGTGCATACGAACGCTTGTTTTAGCGCTTTGCAGGTGTCGCTGTGCTACTTGGGCTTCCGGGTCGAAGCAATTGTCAAATGCGACAAAGTGTCTTTCATGCATTGAAAGACATTTTGTTCGCTTGAACACGTTAATATTCCTTTAACACGTTGACTGTCACGCTGAATTTGCTGAATTCGAAAGTTCTACTAGTCTATGCTTACACAGCAATTGTGACATATTCTGCTACCGTGTTTAAAACTCGAAGATAAACCATTTTTTACTTCTACTTCATTCTGTGAGCTCTTTCAATGAATGTGAAAATCTCAATGAAATGCGTGTCACTCGTATACGTGACACACGCAGTAGTCAATCTGTTAAAACGAAGCATTCTTGAAATATTTTTGCTGTGCGAAATTGTAGTATTTAATAATCTGTTGTGCCCGATTCGAAACAAAAGAATATTTAATTTTGGCTTTTTCGAACACAGTTACTCATTAATCCTCCAGTATTCCATTATGCTGTACTATAACCTGTTGTGCAACAATGAATAAAAAAGAACAGTGAAAGAGTACACATAGATATGAATTTAAAAGTTTGGTACTGATATCCATTGTCTTGAAGAAAAGTTTCTCCGTATTTCATTGAAAATAATTAAAATTATTGTCGTGAAATTTCTTTTGAAATGGATCTCGAGAGCAGAGAACGTGTACGAACTTATTTCAACAAGTTTGAGTTATAGGGTCGCAAATATGAATCCAAAATTTATTCAAGTGAAGCATTCACCTTTTGTCAATGTGTCAAAGATAACAAATCCTATTACACTTGTTACTCGCTTTGTCGTAAATATTCATTCGTATACTTTAATAGGTTTTGTCCTGCGTCCATCTTTAGACACCACTGCGCGCAACGTCCGGACCGGTTGCTTTGTGTAAACTAACAGGCGAGGTGGAAATAGAAAGAGTAGACTTTCCTGGCTTCATGTTTACCCGAATTTCGCAAAGAAGGACCGCCTTTACCGGCACGCCGCTAAAAGAACACAGAACCGGCATCAAATCTATCACCGTCACAATATTTTTACTCGTTCAAACATTACCACAAGATAACTACTGCTGCCGCCGTCACCTCTCTTTTTTTTTTCTTGCCAGGTGCATGCTGTGCTTTTGAAACACATCACAAGTTATAAACTTGTAGTGCTTATTCTGAAAAGTTGACTTTTTGTGCTAGCATTCTTCAGCATAAAATGACAGTTGACGTTTTCAAACAGTTAATGAGAATTGACCGAACATCCGGTCCTTAGACACTTAAAAGTTTGAAAGTCACAAATAAAAACTGTTAGATATAAGAAATAGGTGCAATAAAAATTATCTGTTTTCCTGTAAAGATCCATCGATATTAATAACACTTTTCAGTTGGTATAGAATTTTTTTCTATAAAAATATATTTCATCGATTGAATAAAAGATCGATAAATATTATGAAAATTTGACGAATTTTACATAATCCAACTGGACAACAATATTTAATCTGATACATTTTCGGACCTGTCCGGGCATCGATGTCTCTCAAGTCGCGATCCGTCGGATTCGTAACTCGTTAACGTCACGTGTTTCCCATGTATGCATCTAAAAATACAGAAATACATTTTTCCGCAATGAACGACATTCTTTCCTGTGAGAGAATGACAGTCTGACGATGTCGGGAGAGACGATAGACATTTTTAACTTACTCATAAAGCTCATAAATAATGACGTATGTCAAAACGCTTGTAAAGCATAAATGAAATAAGATATTTGCTTTCGCAAAGCGAAGTTATTTGTTAGGATGATTAATGGCCACGTATGAGCGGAGATTTTCTTACACCTTACATCTAACCCTAGTTAAATTAATTTTTAGCATTCATATAAGCAATGAAATGTGAGATTTATAGCGCGATATTTTAACACGACAAATTTATAATGGTATTTTCAATAGTGACAAGTTAGCTAATTGATATCACTACTCTAATTAATCTTTTTTGAAAATATCAAACACGCCGCATTGCAATAATCACAATCAAGTAATTATAATAGAAAAGACAGCAATAAATTCATGTCCTATGTCTAATATTAAATACAGCAAATCTTGAGCTTTCGTTCGTAAAAGTTTCAACCAACATTATTGCAAGTTGAGAAACTCATGAGTCTTTATATTCCTGAACAAAATAGACGAATCGATATTTTTAAAAAATTTGATACATTTTGCTCGTTTCAAATTATCTATGTGAAGTCAATGATAGCAGAAAAAAGAGCGTTGCAACTATGTCGTAAGATTTTTTCATATGACTATCGTTTATACATTTGGATTTAATGAGGAATTAAAGATAAGGGGGACAATCTTAGAAAAAAATCTTACAAGAGTTGCAAAGCTGCTTTTTTGCTGAACGCAGCCAATGTCGTTTTAAGTTCGGTAGATCGCGGGAGGATTGAAATTTGTGCCAAACGACAATAAAAGGCAAGAACCCGAAAGTAGCTGGGCTCGAGCCGGGGAATAACAAATCGCCGGTAACGGCGGTAACTTGAGTTCGTTCGTCTGTCCGTCCACTTCGTCCTGCTGCTCATCCTCGTGATCGCGCGCGGCGACTAGCAGCGCCGGTCGCGCGGAATAAATAGGGAGAAAAAGCGCGTACCGCGCGCCGGCTCTAAGTGATTGTGGGTAGTTTTATGGCGGC